GCAGCTGGGGTGGACTGATGCTTGTAGGATGAGGAGTTACCCCAGTGCTTGCAACACTGTCGCTTGCACCCTCGCTTGTTTCGCCTGGCTCGAACAGAGTGCCGGGAGCACCAGCAGATTCACTCGTATTTAATCCTTGCGGTTCCAACTGCACTGCAGCACCAACAGGAGGACACGTCTCTGCCTCGGTCGTAGCTGCTGTAGGGGCGTCGGTCGGTCTGGAACGCAGGTGATCACCGTGCCGATGCCACAGTGTGCCATCTTCAAGGCAGACTTGCGCTGAAGATTGACTTGTGGCGCCGACGACTCGAGCACGCACCCATGGCATACCCTGGCGGAAGTTCCTGGCGAACACGTTCTCCTCAGGGTTGAGCGGCGGTCCCTGTCGGCAGCCTTTATGAGTATACAGTTTCTGTTTTAGCTGCTTGAGCAGCACTGATGATTGGAGGCTGGGACGCAGGACATCCAACGGCGTCTTGAACATCCTTCCCGTCAACAACTCGCATGGTGCTCTGCCCGTGACCTCGTGCGGAGTAGTCCTGTAATGAAACAAGAATCTGGAAATCCGAGTCTGGAAATCCCCAGAGCCACTTTTCTTGAGTTTGTTCTTCACGGTTTGTACAACACGCTCCGCTGCCCCGTTTGACGCTGGATGATATGGCGGCACGAGCATGCGGCGTATCCCGTTGCATGTTAGAAAGTCCAAGTACTGCTCACTTGCAAATGCAGGCCCATTGTCTGACACAATCAGATCTGGTAGACCGTGCTGAGCGAAGGCCATTCGCAGGGCTGTTATGGTAGCCTCTGCAGAAGTTGGCGAGACAGGAAACACTTCGACCCATTTTGAAAAAGCATCCACAATGACCAAAAAAGTATGCCCCATAAATGGCCCTCCAAAATCAATGTGAAGCCTGGACCAAGGCTTCCGGGGGAACGGCCAGGGCGTCTGTTGAACTGGTTGTGGAGCCCGCTGATGAGCTTGGCAAATCGAGCAGCTCTTCACATGGTGGGTTATGTCGTTATCGATACCCGGCCACCAGACGTGACTTCTGGCGATCATTTTGCTCTTCTCGATGCCTGGGTGGCTGGAATGAAGCAGACCCAGGACTCGAGCCTGCAGCACTTTTGGAATCACCACGCGTGCTCCCCAGAGCAAACAACACTCATGCAGGCTAAGCTCTGAACTCCTTGCACAAAAAGGGCTCGTTTCTGATGCTAGTGCAAGGTTCTCTCCTCTGAGAACAGCGAGAACGACATGTCCCAGAACAGGGTCATTCTTTGTGGCTTGAGCCACAACGGAGGGTGAAAGAAGATTCGGATATGCGTGCTGTAGCATGAAGACGTCGGCCGGCACGTTCTCTTCAACGTTGCTCCCAGGTAATGGAAGTCTACTGAGTGCGTCAGCATGACCTAAATTCCTTCCTGGTTTGTAGGTCAGCTGGTACTTGTACGCTGAAAGCTTGAGAGCCCACCTGACAAGCCGAGGTGACGCGTGGACAGGAACTGGCTTGTCAGCACTCAGCAATCCCAGCAGCGGCTTGTGGTCTGTGAAAGCTTGAAAAGGGGTCCCCCACAAGTACTGGTGGAACCGTTCCACCCCGTAGACCAAGCCTAATGCCTCTTTGTCAAGTTGACTGTAGTTTTGTTCTGCTCGGGACAAACTCCTTGATGCAAAAGCAATGGGTCGCTCTTGGCCATCGGCTTCACGGTGCGCCAGAACTGCACCGATCCCGTATGGTGATGCATCACAAGTTAGACACACCGGCTTCTCTGGATTGAAATGAGCTAGAACCGGAGCGGACGTCATCAAGTGCTTGCTTGTGGTAAAAGCCTCTTCTTGGTCTTTTCCTCACTCCCACTTCTTCCCGTCAGTAAGAAGCAAGTGCAGTGGCCGCAGGCGTTCAGACAGGTTAGGAAGGAAACGTCTGTAGAAATTAATCAATCCTAGGAAGCTCTGAAGCTGCTTGACGTCGCGAGGAGCAGGAGCATGAAGTATGGCCGTGACTTTGCCCAGGCCTGGAGACAACCCTTCCTGGTTGATAATGTGCCCAAGGTATTCAACCTGCGGCACAAAAAAATGACACTTGTCGAACTTCAACTTCAGTCCGACATCAAAAAGGCGCTTGAGAACGGAACGTAGGTTGTGCAGATGATCCGAGTCAGTCGCGCCGGTGACCAGGATGTCATCAAAATACACAGCGACGTGCGGCAGCCCTCGGAACAAGTTTTCCATCTCCCGTTGGAAGATAGCCGGAGCGGACGACACTCCGAAAGGAAGGCGGGTGTACTGGAACAACCCCATATGTGTGGAAATGGTGACATACTTTCTAGAGTCCTGCTCAAGAATCACTTGCTGGTAAGCATCCCTCAGATCCAACTTGGTGAACTTCTTACCCCCAGACAGCGTGGCCCACAGATCTTCGATTCTGGGAATCGGGTACTTTTCCAGGGTGGCCACCGGATTCACGGTTACCTTGAAATCGCCACAAATCCTTACACGTCCATCCTTCTTCGCAACAGGAACAATGGGTGCAGCCCAGGCGGACGTCTTGACTGGTACAATAATGCCCTCCCTTTCTAGACGTTGAAGCTCCTGTGCAACTCCATCTTTGAGTGCGAAAGGTAGTGGACGCGGCTTAAAAAACTTCGGTGGAGCGTTTTCCGGAACATGAATACTGGCTTTGAGCCCCTTGAAAGCACCCAGCCGTTCCTCGAACACAGCAGAAAACTCTTGAACAAGACTTCTGACGTCAGAAAGAGAATGAACAGTTACCTCCACATCAGAGAAGTTGAGGCCCAGCTCCCGAATCCAGTTGCGTCCAAGTAGTGTAGGCGACCCATCTCCGCTGACGAACAATGGCAGCACGGCCTTCTTGTCATGGAACTGCACGCTGACGTCCACCCTGCCTTGAACTTGGGTCAGTTCACCGGAATAGCTTCGCAGCAACACGCCGGATGGCATGACTCGTATCGCAGGCACTAGCGCCTGCAGACGTTTCTTGGCGATGACAGAGACACTTGCGCCCGTGTCCACCTCCATGCAGAGCGGCTTGCCACACACGTAGACGGTGACCGTGAACGGCGGTGACGGCGCGACGCTGTCAACTTGCCACATGTCGAAAACCTCGGAAGATGTGACGTCGTCCTCACCGTTGTCATGGACGACATTCACTGGATGCGTCTCCGTTGCTGGGGCCGGGCACACTTGCGCCAGAAAGCGGTGCCTGGTAGAACTTTTCCTGGGTGACTGGGCGTCCCTCTGCTTCGAATTGCACACTTTCGATAGATGTCCTCGCTTTCGGCAGTAGTTGCACGTAGTCTTGACGTGCTTGCAGCCAGACGCGAGGTGCCCGTCTCCGCAGCGGTAGCAGGTGACGCCCCCCGTAGGTGTCGTGACTCGATGCGTTTCGAACGCGGCGCTGCCGGAGCTGGTCTGGCAAATCTCCCCGGCGTCCCTCTTCGCCGCTTCCATGGCCACAGCGGTCTGCACAGCGTCCTCGAACGTCAAGTCTGGCCGTTCCAAAAGTCTGGTCTGGATTGCAGTGCTGTTAATCCCGCAGACGACACGGTCCCTCAGCATGTTTTCAAGCTCAGCTCCGAAGCTGCAGTGCTCGGACAAGTTTTTCAACGCTGCGACGTAGTTGCTCACAGACTCCCCGTCAGCGCGAGCACGCGAGTTGAAACGGAAGCGCTGGACGACGGCGGAAGGCTTCGGGCAGTAATGGTTGTCGAGGACGGAAAGAACCTCATTCAGAGACTTATCTTGAGGCTTGGCAGGCTTGACCAGGTCCCGAAGAAGAGCGTACGTCTTCGCACCGCAGCAACTGAAGAAGATGGCTTGCCTCTTGGCCGCGACGACATCGTTCGCCGAAAAGAAAGCTTCTAGACGCTCGACGTAGGACGGCCAGTCCTCTCCTCCCCCTTCAAAAGGTTCAATTCTGCCGAAGGTTGGCATGACGAGCAGAACTAGCCCGAGCAGAATGATTCGCGAACTTATCATTCGCAAGGAACCGTGACGAACTTTGTACGAAGAACAAAACTTTTCCCTCGTCGCCACTGTTACAAGTGTAAACCGACCTCGCGTCCAACCGGCCAACGTGCGTCGGCGGCAAGAAGCGGAAGCATGACAGACGCAGTTCGGTTCCAACACAACACTAACTGAGGGAGCCGTGTGGCCCCCTGTTTAATATAGAGCCGCACATCCAGACATCAGGCCACCAGGAGACCTTGTGGCGCTACATGCGAGCCAGGAATATAACACATAACTGCCTGTAATGCTCACGCATTCTCCCATCAAAGGAGAAAGCTTAGTTCCCTCGTAGTTTTTCATGCATGTGTTATTTTTATTTGTGGTAAGAGTTCACGCTCCAGAATGCTTTTAGAGTATAGACCATTCCATTTAGCGCTCTCTAGGCGGCACCATTTTGTTCGACCGCAGCGCCCTCTCCAAACGTCCGAGAAGTTCAGCGGGTTCGGCGGTGTAAAACGAGAGAGAGGGCACGCTGCCGACTCCGTTAGCAGACGACAAACCGGGAGGTTGCCGTTCTCCATCTTTGGGCTGTATCGGCGGGCTCTACCGAACATCGAACTCTCGCTCGTGGATGCCGTTATGAAGTGGTTCGCGTTCTTAAAATAATTGTGACTACTTCAAAATCAGCCTATAGCTCTCTGTTGTTCTATTTTGCTAAATGATCAACTAGCATTTTTTTTCTGTTGCTTAAATAGCAGCTGAGTCAGACAGCAGTACTACCCTTAACTACTGCGTGTATTGCGGCAGGAGATTTGGTTTTATTGATTATTTCAGACTTCCACTCATAGTCGCTAAAGTCCTACACCAGTACGAACTTTGTATAGTAAAAAAGGTACAGCAACCGGATTTACTTTTCGCCAAAGAGACCGGCCAATCTGACACAGTTTTCCCCGTTTTTGTTTTTGTTTTTTTTAGTTGCACGCAGGTAACAGCGCAATTGGACCCTGTGAGTCTTTTTATCTAGCATAATACCCATTAGGGACCAAGAAAAATCTACCACACCAATTTTGTTTATTTTTGGTGTACAATGTCTGCTTTGCACAGGAAGAAGATTCCTCGAGTTTGTCAAAAATTCATTTATTCATTCAGAAGTTACAGAGGTGTACTTTCAATAGTACAATGAGACTTTTACATAGCAAAATGGACATTTGCTCAATATTGTGTCTTTGACGCATGAAACTTCTTGAAGCATCCGTGCTTCAAACAAAGTGTAATGTTGCACTTTGCGCATGCCCACATGGACCTCTTGTGGCAATACTGGCAGCGCAATTGCTTTTCCAATTTGCTAGGAAAGTGCCCTTCTTTGTCCAAAACAATGTCACTCACGATGGAGGCTGGCCGCCTACGGATGTAATGGACTTTTGTACCGAGGCGGAGGTAGTACCGTGTGACATTTCGTAGGAAGGCAAGGAGGTCGACCGGCTCATCTGCAATCAACTGATAAATTTTCCAAGAATTCACCACGGCCACATTCAGCATCTGAGTAAACAAAGGCCACCACCACTTTTTGCCGCGAATGCGAACTCTATAGTTGTTTGCAGCTTGGTCTAGGAGGTCTACCCCTCCCATACTGCAGTTATAGCTGCTGAACAGTTTAGGTTGTTGCACATTCACTTTCTCCTGTGCTGAAGATGACCACCGTTTTACAGAGCACATGGGTACAATTCCGTCGTAGTTGGTAGCCATTGTTACTACACTACTGTCCTTCCACTTCACAAGAAGAACCTCACCGACAGGGTCAAAGCAATGGGAAAAGTGTCCTCTCTGTTTTTTTTTTCCATTTTTTTCTTACTTGGAAGAGGGCACTTCATTTGCCGGTTCTCACGAAGGGTACCTGTAGCCCTAAATCCTTTATTACGGAGTGCAACAAGGAGACTGTGACTGGTAAAAAAATTATCAAAAAAGACAATATGGTCACTCGGGTTTGAAGTTGCCTCAAGCAGAGAAAGAACGACACGACTTCCTAGAGGGTTGTTATCTGTTTTTGCAGATTTTCCGCACTAGGTATCAAAAGCATAACAAAACCCGTCATCACTGCACATCATCCAATTCTTGTAGCCAAAACGAATGGGCTTGCCACGCATGAATTGTTTGCAAGGATGGTGCCCAAAGTATTTCACCATAGACTCATCTACTGAAAGGTTTCGGTGAAAGATTCCATGCTGCTGAAATCGCCCATTCAGAAGGTTCATGAGAGGACGTCCTTTGTACATTCGATCAGTTGATCCCTTGATCAAGTCATTATCAGCTAGGTGCAAGAATCCTTTTATCTCGTAAAACCTATTTCGGCTCATGCACTTGGCTACGTATGGCACTCCAACATCTTCGTCAACGCACCAGTAAAGCTTCTGTCGTGGAAGGCTGTGGTAACCAGACAGCAAAAGGATACCGATGAACCTTTTCAGATCATCCAAACTGAAGGAAAAGCCATGTTCGTTTTTCTGTTTCGCATAGTGGCCAGTCTGTACTATAATGTGTGTAAGTATGTGATCATCAAAGATGGTACTGAAGATTTGACTGGGTGAATAACCTTCATACAGAGCTCTCAACTCGGCCTTGCGCACTACTGCTCCGTCAGTGGAGTTCCCCCAGGTGTACTCAGGTTCTTTTCGGCTCCAGTTTACGGCAGCGACCTTTGCCCGCTTCACCGGAGGGACGCGCTTGTCAGCTTCTTCTTCATTAGCACGCCAGTGAACTTCCAGAGTGCCTGCAAAAAGGCAGACTTTGATATAACGAGCCTGTAACGCTTCAAAGACTATTTTACAGGAGCTATAAAGCAAAGACAGCTGCAGAAAGCGCGAAAATCAACAGTGGCAGCGCGGCATGAACACCACTTCTAAATATTGGAAGCAAAGTTGAAAGCATACACTGCGAGGGGCGTCAAAATAAAAAAAAACAATAAAAAAATCGGCAACATCTGCGAACGCTGACACACAAATTCACTGGACAAAACATTTCCACTTTGACCGGTTCACCAACCCGCATTTATTTACAACGCTCTCCCACTTTGGCCCCACTAGATACTGTAGAATAGCCGCGGCAAAAAGCACGACCTGTATCCTGGTGACGCCGCGGTCTCAAATATCAATCATTGATAACTTCCAAAGCGCCTACGAATTGCAGTCTCAGTAAGAAAGAAAACATTTCTAACCAGAAACGTCATTTACGGGCGCAGAGGCCGTACAGTCCTCGTCTCCTTCTTCCTCGTCGGTATCTGATGATGGGTCCGGAGGAATTATGACGACATCCACGTCGTCTTCAGCATTCTCTGCTATATCTGCTGCAGCCTCGAGGGCTTCGCTGAGTCGACAAAACGGTTTTGTGCCGAAGAAAACGCCCGGTTCCATTATAGTGGGTGCCTGGAATAGCGAGCGCCATTGTGCATACACGAAAGCCCAGCGTACTATATATAGTACAGCAACGTTTAGATTTGGATACCACAAAAAGTATGAAAGGTATGTAGCATTCACAGCACTCAGCGTTTACTTCTACCTTCCTCGCAGGTGTATGCAAAAAACTGTTGCGAATGATTGCATACTTCAGCCAGGAGAAAAAAATTTGGAAGCACTCACCTCAGCGGTTGGCGGGAGCGGAGTTTGTCTATATTTGACCGTAGACAAATGCGCCCCTGAGCACTGCGAACGCTGATCTTTGATTTGGGGGTGTAGGTTCGCCCTCTGGTGGTAAAATAAAGAACTACTGAAATCGAAATATTTAATTTGGAGTTTTTAAAAAATAATATTGTAGCTGTACTTTTAAAAGTACACCGGTCCCTAATGGGTTAAACGGCAACTGGCATACCGAAATCTGCGCATCTGCGCTTGAAAGTTCCAAAATGACGCGATTTTAAACAGAGTTTGCACGCCAGCCGGACGCTAGCTACAGCCCACTCGGCGGAGCGGACGACATCCGGGGTGAGAGGGGGAATGCATTTTTTTCTCTTTTACCCTCTCTGCTATGACCCTAATGGAACGGTCTATTGGAGGAAAACGAGTTTTCTTCATCCGAGTCAGCTTCAAGAGCCAGTAGACCGCACTGGGTCGTCCAGCTAATCATGCAGCTATTTTCAAATTCTCTGGCGTGCCTGTCCTCGCATCCGAGGTCACCGTTTGACAAGCTGATCTTTCTTCCACCTGGTAGCCGGAACCCCCACGGCAGCTTTGTTCCGTCCCCACTCCCTCTCGAGAGGATGGCTCGCCCCGAGGCTAATCCCGATCTCTAGACATAGCCTCCTCTATAGAGGAGGCTATGCTCTAGTCCTCTTTCCATCCAAAGCTGGCCCTTTCCCTCCCCGTCCCCCAGCTTCGGGAGAGAAGGTTCCTCCCTGCAGAACGTCCCGTTTGTACAGTGGCCTTTAAAGTTCAAAGATTGTCCTGTCTGTATCGTCCCTTTTGTGTCTCCACTTTTTAATGTTTAAAAAGTATCACCACGCTAAAATAGTACAATTTCCGGGATTTAATTTTCGTTCCCCAAGTGAGATGCGGGAGCCGCACCACGGAGCCCCGGTCATTTCCGCGCTTTGTCACTTTGTTATCACTAGGATTTGACAGTGCTCAATCACAATGCAAGACACGCACAGAGCCACGCTTGCTTTTGAAATGCGCTGCCTAATAATGATATTTCTTGTGAAGACGTGCGCACATCCGTCTTGCGCAGTGTTAGCTCCATGGCAGCACTTTCTGTAAAGGCAGATTCACACCGGGGATGTAAGCAGTCGCGCGATCCAACTAAATCGCATCGCAAAAAAAAAAAAAAAAAAAGTAATTAGTTGGTCAATCTGGCGTGCGCGATTAACGAGTCCAACGCCTTCGTTGGCGAGTCGCTTCTCAAAAACTCTCGCTCTGAACGCCGTTGGTTGGCTCGGCCTCTCCGCGACTAGAGTGCATTGCAAAATGTCGGGTCAGCAAGCAACTGCTCAAACCCCGTCACTTTTTGCCCGCGATGGTCGCTTTTGCGATGAAAGTTATGGCGCGACTAGATCGTATCGCCGGTATGAAAACGCCTTAATGTCGAACCAGTCTCACGGCGCGTCCCGATATTGGCTTGTGTACCTACGCGCGAGTACAAGATCTGGCACAATTTGCGTCTGCAAAGCCTGCTCCAGCCGCGTCAAAAGATTCAGCCAAACTTTGGACTGCAAAAATCAAGAGACACCCAAAATAAGATAAAGTTGCCAGGCGAAAAAGCTTGATTTCTATCTAATTAAGATGAAGACCACCCGCGTACATCAAATACCTCATCAGCGGTACTCCAAGGCAGTAAGCCTAGTTCTGGCACTTGTTTGGCAACTTTGGCCCGTAGCTGCCAGATAACAGTCGAAATATCGGGAAGCGAAGCCTAACTTGGGCACTCGTTTGGCGACTTGGGCCCAAAGATGCCAGATGTCAACCAAACTACAAGGTAGTAAGCCTAACTCTGGCACATTTGTGGCGATTTTGGCCCGAATGTGCCAGGTGACAGCCGAACTGTCAAAAAATGAAGCCTAACTTTGGCATTCGTTTGGCGATTTTGGCCCAGAAATGCCAAAGCTCTGCCGAACTACAGGGTAGTAAGCCTAACTCTGGCACATCTGTGGCGATTTTGGCCTGAATGTGCCAGGTGAGAGCCGAACTATCAAAAAGTGAAGCCTAACTTTGGCATTAGATTGGCGATTTTGGCCCAAAAATGCCAAAGATCTGCTGAACTACCGGGCAGTAAGCCTGAATCTGGCATTTGTTAGGCGATTTAGGCCCGAAGATGCCAAACAACAGCCGAACTACCCGGCAGCGAAGCCTAAGTTTGGCACTTGCTTGGCGAGTTAGGGCCAAGATACCCAGACTGTTGCCAAGGGAGGTCAGGTTTGGCACTACTTTGGCTTCTTCGGGCTTTTTAATGCCGTAAACTGCCAGACGCAAGCCCCCCAGAACTCGGTGCTGCCTGGGTTATAAATATTTAAAAAAAAAAATCATAAAATTGCGCTTTTGAATTGTTTTGATTGGTCTCATCGGCTCGTAGCGTAGACTGCGCACAACCGTAAGGTGAAACGAAGGATAGCTACGCATAAGTGGTTGATAACACTGGAATCTTGGATTCAGATCACAGAACTGTGCTCATGAAACTTATCCAGGAATTCGTCTTATCTCTTTCTTGCCTCATGGGGGACCAATTCTAGCAGCATCCGAAGAACTTCTGCATGATACAGAACTCAATGGTGGGAGCAGTCCGAGAAAGGGTGGCCGCTCCCTCAAGAACGAAGTCGCAGCTGGACAGGAGAAAAAAACAAAATTGTCTACGATGCGGTTTTATGGCATAGCGTCAAAAGATAAAATGCTCACTAATTGAATTATTCAAACATTCACTTTGCAACGTCATCTATGCACCTTAGCGCGAAAGGTGGCGTTAAGCATTGATTGGCCGGCCTGTAAAAATTGGCGTATCCAGGATCCAGCAAGTTGCCTACCCTGCTTGGGCTGGTGTTAGCACCCCCTCGTTCGTGCTTTCAGACAAAGAACATGCAGCAGTACTTGGCCTGAGAAGGGCAAATCAGTGACGGTGTTGTATTGAACACGTGGTTTGCATTTTTCGTGTTTTCCCTTGATTTATGTGCTGTGGATGCCAACATAAATCTTCAGTTCATAGTCAGTGCTGTCTCCTGTCTGTTGCCTTCTACTTTGTCCTCGTCCTTGCGCTGTTTTGCTTTTAATTATGTCTTCATAGAATCCTTTAATGAACAAAACATGTACGTCTTTATACAGGTCTACTCAGGTTCATACAGATCACGACAATTCACGCATGGTCCACTAACGTGGTAATACCGGTTTCCAGTACACGACTATTGGTGACCCCTCATAGAATACCCACCGCCGACATGGGTTCGATGGCCACCGATAAAGGGCTACAGTCAACACCGGTACTACGCTATCGGGGACAGATCCCATCGCCAGACGACCGGTATTCTCGTGGTGTTAACGGTATTTTCATACAAGCCTATAAGTTATATTGTCACGGATGAAAAAGGAGAGATCATAAACAATGAACTGAAACAAAGCTTCAATCGGCAAAGCCATGCCAGAAACAGAAGATAGAAAAAGCGTGCAAAAAGTAACGCCCCTGAATAAGAAAAGTAGCGCTATCTTCTCTCTCCTCCTCTGACGCGCATACCTTTTACCTTTATATTTGAATTTCTTACACCCGCGCATTGACTGTAGTGCCGCCTGCAGTGGATCGGGCCAAGTTAGCAGACGGACTTCCTGTACTTGAGTCAGAGCGTAGTCAAAGGCTGAAAGACACGTGTAAATACATACACACAGTCTAAAAGCGCACTGTCACGGTTTACCAGCCTCGAAGGATGGGCTCAAAGAAAGACAATGAAAGCCGTGACATTGCATATTCGGCGTTATTTGATAGGCGCCATGAGCTCATAGCATGCACTGCACTCCGACAGCATAGGCATTCCTTCCATAGAGTAATATACACAAGGTAAAGAGCGGACACTGCCATAGGCCCCAGCGGCTCAGATAGACCAGTGACAGGTAGCGCTCCTAGCGGGCGGTATTAAGTATAATCTGATTCCGTTTCCGGTCAAGTTAGTTTCGGTTTTGGTTTGGGCGTTTTTGCTCCGCTTCTTCAATACCCTTCTCTCTCTCTTTCCTCCCCGCCCCGCTCATCTCTCGGGAGCACCTTGACTCCCCAAGCCGCTGTTTTTTTGTTTGTTTTTAATACTGACACACTTTTGCTTTATTTTTTACGATAGAGTCCGTGCAAAATGTGTCAAACAATATTTCAACTTACTTCACAAAGCAGAAGTATATATATTTCTTGTTCTTTTTATATTGTAAAGCATTGAAGTTACACAATCACCGCATTGACTCCTGGCCGGTGGAGCATTTTGGGGTCAACAACAGTAAGTGGTTCGAACACATTTTATTGGACGACATTCATGTACACATGATTTACTTCAGAAGCTCTGTATGTTTTATACGAAAGAGATCGATACTCACAAAAATAAATGAATATGAAGGACTTCGGCATTCGTACACTTCGTAATAGATTCTTAGCGGAACCAAGTTAACAAAACCCTTCCACGGAGAACATGCTGTATGATACATTCACTTTCACGCCGACTCGGGTAGGGGAAGTAAGTGCAAAAATAAATAGGACATCGCTACCATTACCAGTCATAAGAGTATAATAACAGTGCGAAGCACACGCCGGATAGGACAAATTCCCGATTTCCGGCAAATATAAAAAAACACCAATTTGCATAGCCTCAAACTCACTGCGGGCGAGCCATTAGCAAACAATGAGAACTCTATTAGAAATCTGACAAGATTCAACGTCCCTAAATATTCCCCGAAATCGTTCAGAAAAGAAATTTGGCTGCAGAAAAAAGCGGCTAAAAAACTATGGACAGTGGATACAAAAGTGGATACATTTTCTTTCAGATATTGTTAGCCTCTCTACACTATTTTCCATCGAATTTTTTTAGAAAGTGGACAAATATTTTCGTTAGGGAGCCGTGACACACATTCGCTGGAAAAAGGGGAAACAAATATTTGGAGAGCAAGCTGCACCGCCCACTTAATCACTTTTTTTTTTTGGTTTGGCAACCGCCTCT